GAGATCAACTAGCAGCAGAAAGGTCTTCACCCCCAAGGCAGAGTAGCCGAAAACGACAGAAACCAACACTACTCCAAGTCAACCCAAGAAGAAGCGTTATTAGTTTTTCAAGGAGGAGAGGTGTTGGGGATCCACGATTCCCCAAGATTGGTTTCTGATTTTATTTGCATTAATTCGTTAACATTTGTTTTGTTACGCTTTTATCAAGTCAAGGTCAACCTGACTTGAATTTGTTCGACTTCCGGACTACACACCGCACGTGGCTGACGTGAATACAGCTCTCTACACGAGCTCTGGTCTTGTTCTCGTATTAGCCTGGGAAGGTCGGTTCTAGCTTTCAGCAAGGGATCTGGTACCGTTATTTGAGTGGTCATCTCTATTGTTACGGGCAAACGTAACACCTGGTCACAAATCCATATCGACTTTGTTGGACCGATCAACGGAGTCTCGTACCTTGTGCTGGTGGACGCCTACTCAAAATGGCCAGAGATTGTCCAAATGATTTCCCCCACAACAACGAGAACATTACAGGTTCTCTCTCAGATTTTCAGCCGCCATGGGATTCCGGAAATTATTGTCTCAGACAATGGATCGCAGTTCACCTCTCAACAATTCAAGGAGTTCTGTCAGCAGCATGCTATTGCACACATGCATTCCCCACCCTACCATCCACAGTCCAACGGACAGGCGGAAAGGTTCGTCGACACATTGAAGCGAGCCCTGCTAAAATCCCGTGGGGAAGGAAGGACATCGGTCGAAAGTCTACAGAATTTTCTGCTGGTGTTTCGTACAACACCAAACGAGATTCTACCAAATGGACAGTCGCCATCTGAGACACTCATGGGTCGCAAATTGCGAACAACAAATTCCGCAATGATTCCGGTACAGGACAACCGTCCGGAGCTTTCGAGTACAAAACCTACCACGCCTTTTGAAATCGGAACAGCTGTGTACGTTCGTGACTATCGACCAAGTCGAAGGGACCCATGGATCGAAGAAACCATTACACGCCGACACGGCAAGGTCATGTTCGACGTGATGGTGGGTCGCGACACGTGGTCAAGGCATCGAAACCAACTCCGATTGAGAAAAGTATCTGCGACAGCAAATCGCCAGACCAGCATCCCACAGGATGTACTTTTCGACACTTTTCAGCTGCAGCCACCAATCGCCACGCTAGTGAAAACCAACAGAGATCAACTAGCAGCAGGTAGGTCTTCACCTCTAAAGCAGAGTAGCCGAAAACGATAGAAACCAACACTACTCCAAGTCGACCCCAAGAAGATGCATTATTAGCTTTTCAAGAAGGAGAGGTGTTGGGGATCCACGATTCCCCAAGATTGGTTTCTGATTTTATTTACATTAATTTATTAACATTTGTTTTGTTACGCTTTTATCAAGTCAAGGTCAACCTTGACTTGAATTAACTTTCGATTTCACTTCTTCTCTGCACGTGGCTCACGTGAATAAAGCTCTCTACTCGAGCTCTGTTCTTGTTCTGGTATTTAGCCTGGGTAGGTCGGTTCTAGCTTTCAGCGAGGGATCTGCTACCGTTATTTGAGTAGTCTTCTCTATTATTACAGGCAAAGCTAACAAATTCAGTGTTAGAAATATCACATGCACGATCTAAATCAACGTACGGTAATGTCCTCGGTAGCATTTGGAAGTAGTCGAAGTACAAATTTAGCAAAGAAGAGGATTTTAATGTAAACTCAATGACCACGTGTCAATATCTGTTGACTGCCAACATATTTTGCCAGAACTGTACTGTGTACTCAATGTATATGAGTAGACACATTGCTGCGTTTATTTCAAAACGAGGCGTTCGTGAAAAAGTGCGGTAAACGGAATGACACCCATAATTTATCGATCGCAAATTGACCAATATCGATTTCTGGAAAAAATTAGTTTAACTTCAACCAGCTTCGTAAACAGCAGAGTTATCCAAAACAGCATGTTATCACCTAAATAAAAAAGAACTAAGCAATTTAGTACTAAATCTGTTTTCTCCAAGGATTCTCCATCGAAAATGCCACAAACCTAACCGAACGTGATTAGGCAAACTCGTTCGAAATACCGCTCAGTACGCAAACCAGCGCATTAAAACAATGGGATGAAAAATGCTAACCTAGTAAACGTGTGGGCGAATTCCCTTGGTCCTACATCAGTGTGTTTAAGCTTACTCCTGCTGTTTACTTCGAAAAACTGTACACTGCGTTGATTTTGCACTGCCATACCATCGTGATCTCACATATAACCATCGAAATGTCCGTGATATGTAACTGTAAGTCGACAAACCGTGATCCGATATTGGCTCTTAGATGACGGCTAAGAGTTTAGACGAAGTTTCAATGAAATTGGGCAAATTCAGCCTCATTGAGATCAAACAGGTTCCAAGTGTGGGAATTCTTGGTCATAAGTGTTGAATTTCCAACAACTGTAGCCATTTGTGTTTGAACTATCTTCACCAGTGGCTAGAAGACTGCTAGAAATTGAATCTGCTCGACATATCGGATACACATAAAAAAGCGCCAATCAGTGAAAGTCATTGCGCTTATTCAAAAATGTCAACATTTTTTGAAAAAATATCCCAATGAATGGACCCAAAGTTGTCATGGTGCAGAGAGGACGAGTCGGCGCAAAGTTGACCAATCAGATTTCATCCTGGTTGATCTTGATGAAGATGCCGCTGGTTCCCATGACGTTTGGATCGTAGTCCTTGTATTCGCGCAGGTAGGCTCGTGCTGAAACCGGTCGTTTGGACTCGTCAACCTTGATTTCGCTCGTTGGATCACCTTGTCCGTAGAACTCGTAGAAGTGCCCCCTGTTGTCCTCTTAAAACAAATCCACAACAATTTAAACGGTGCAATATCAAGATGACTAACCTCCTCCATGCAACTTTAGCAAACAGTAGCAGAAATGACCAATAAGATTTAGCCAAACTATTGACTAGATGAGCTACGTTGTGTCGTTTTAATCAATATAACAAGGGCACTCTTCCTGGCAACAATCGCAACCAATTAGATTACAGTAGGAAACGTAAACTAATGCAACTTTGTTTATCAGGTTGAAAATGTGGTCACACCTTTCATTAACTTTGACCAATAAGAGCTCAGTAGGCAAACTAACCAATCAGATAAAGCGCGCATATTGATTAAATGTCCGAGCTGTTAAAAATTCACAAAATTTTCGTAGGTACAATATAAACTCTTATTAGAAAATACCAAACATTTGCATCCGGTGAGCAAGCTCGTGTCTAATGTCCGTGTTGATCGTAAATCGGCAATATCAGGGATACGGAATTTAACCACTCAGCCATCTTGACCAATAGCAACGCAGCTGTAAAAACGACCAGGCGGCAGATAATGCCGAAATATTATCTAAAGTGAGCCTCTTTTTGGCTACTTGACCACAACGTAAGCCAGTCATAAAGTAGTGAATGAATAACTACGTTTTTCTAACTGTATTCGCCGCCATTGCAGCTCGCAGTCTCAGCCAATGAAATATGATTGGCCATTGACCAATCAGCGATGCCATTGGATAGTAACAGCTTTGACTTATGCAGGCGTAATTAGCTAAAAGTGCGCTTTGTTCTCGGTGAAATCTTAAAGTTAGTTGAAGAAATCCAATGAGAGAGAATTGCAAAGGGGTGTCGTGTGCGGCACCATGCAAAGACGTACTGATAAGTTCAGCCAATGATTTTCCATCCCCACCGTATTCAGGCGGTATGATGGCTTTAAGGCCGGGTTCTACTTCGTAAGCCTTAGAGATGTCTGAGCCAACGTTCAGCATCTACAAATAGAAACCAAGATTAATTTCGAGGTCTTCTGCAATCTACTGCCTAAAAGTAAAGTAGTAGAACTCACACGACTTTTCGCTTTATCCTTCATGTAGAACGTGAATATAGACAGCGCCGTATTTATGATTTTGCCTTCGTTGTACAAAATTACTCGTTTAACTCTTCCAGGTAATGCCTCCTACAGTAGAAAAATAATTATTTTTAACCAGAAATAACTGCTGTTAGCCTAACTCCATCCAGTGAACTGCTAGGTTGTCCAAACAGAACTACCTCAAGTTGATTGGTCGCTGGAGCCCACCATTTATGCTCATTGGATGAAATTAGTTAACAGCCAATTGGTGGCCTGGCGTGGATTACCACCGTTGGAGGTGTTAATAATCCTACCTGGGAAAAGCGAACCATCGCTCGAATGACATTGGGATCCTTCAGAACCTGACTGGACCCAACGTTGGCGAAGTTGAGGATGATGATTGAGCCACCAATGATAGTACGAGGATCACTGGCTACCATGAACATCTGCTTGTAGGCGTAGTAGTACAGTCGTGGAAAAGCGAACTCATCCGGATTCCATTCGCCTAAAGTACAGTGAGGATTCGACCACTTGAAAAGGAACAATAATTACCTAGACGCAGGCAAAAGACAAATTTTCCATCCTCCGTGTATCCAATTGGAAGGTGGATTCTAAAAATGCGAAAAAGAGGGTAATCAGATTTCGCGAGCGCTATGCTGCTGTTCACATGGACTCAAAACACACATCAAGTTAGTGTGTGTAAGGTGTGTACTCTGATACGAATCCCCATTACTTGAATCAACCAGTTGCATCGCATAGCCATGATTTCTGGATGCGGAAAAGGCGGTCGTAAAAAGAATAGCGAGAGATCTGTCATCAATGTTAAAACGATTCTCCCATTGACTGTGCTTAAAATACGGTGTTGACAATGCTCCACGTCAACCTACCCTTTGTCTAGGTAGCGTCTGAGTTCTTTTGACTCG